AAATGAATACAGAACATTGGTCGGAAGTATTATTTGCATGATGATATGAACTAGGCAAAATAATCTGCTATACGGTTACTAAGTTATCCCAAAACTTAAATAAACCGTGGACTGTACATTTGAACAATTTTTAAGCAAGTATTACGCTATCTGAAGTGGACTAATAGTCGATGCCTAGTATTTTTGACAATCCAATAAATTATTAAAAATTGGAAGAATTTTGTGATGCTGATGGGACCAATTCACCAGACCATAAGAATATAACAGGCTATAGCTTTAAGCTAGCGGATGGTAACCCAATAATCAGCAGGAATTAAGAACAAGCGAAAGATTTCACTTTTTACTTGTGAAGCTGGATGTATTGCATTGTGAAAAAGAACACAAGGTTATTTTTCTTAAATTGCTAATGAAAAACAATTACAATACTGGCAATAACTGAGCCAATTATTATTTACTCGGTGATCAGAGCAGTATTGCTTTGTCTAGAAATTCAACATTAAAGATCAAAGCATATCGATATAAAATATCAGTTTGTTAAGGGACCAAGTACAGAAGAAACAGTACAAATTGAATGTGTTTAATCGGGAAATAATATGTATGGATTTATTTGTAAAAAACGATTATGAAATGGAAACTACAGGCTTTTTGCTTCTGCAATGTTTGGTGCTGACTTCTTAGACCCTTATAATGGTCCTGGGCAAGACGTAAAACTGCATCCATTAAGGCCCCTTATTAGGTCCTGGGCAAGACGTAAAACTGCATCCATTAAGGCCCTTATTAGGTCCTGGGCAAGACATAAAACTGCATCCATTAAGGCCCCTATATTAGGTCCTGGGTAGGACATAAAACTACATCCGTTAAGTCCCTGTAAGGTCCTTATTAGGTCCTGGGTAGGACGTAAAACTGCATCCATTAGTTACTGTCCTAAGAAGCGTCAGTTTCAGTTTTTGGTATGAATGTAAGTCCTTAGTTTCGGGGTATAAAGGTAAATGGTCCTACCTTGAGCCCAATCCTCTCCTAAATGATTCTCTGGATCACTCTGACCCGGAGTGATAGTAACTGTTTTAATGGGTCCCAGCTATGGATAAAATAATAAATGATTCTCTGGATCACTCTGACCCGGAGTGATAGTAACTGTTTTAATGGGTCCCAGCTATGGGTAAAGTAACAATTCTTTCCACTTTTTGCTGTGATCGCAATCTAAACTTATAATATTGTTGTTCATGTTTCATTAACCCGAAGTATTTAACTATGAACAAAGTGATATGACTAATTTTTGTGAATATTAATTTTCAAGAAAATATAAAAAAAAAAAAACATAAAAATAAAATTTGGAATACTAAAGTATTTGTTACATATTAATATTACCTTTTAAAAAAAGAGAAAAAGAAAAAAATATTATTTTTGAAATTAAAGTATTTATTAACTTTACTAATATTTTGAACGAAGATTCCATATATACCCAAAATAAGGGGGGCTGTTACGGTTTTTTGGGTATACAACGCATATAACTAGTGAGCGAGTCAGAATGACTTATTTCCCTTTATAGTCGACCAATGGAAGGTTGACCAATCAGAAGCCGCCCAACACTGTATTCGTCGTGGTATAAAGGCGGCCATCTTGTTTCCTCCCACCGGAAGGACCAAAGGCGACCAGGAGAAGGATGAACTACACTCTGCTGTGATATCCACTGCGAACCTAAAGTACGCTTTCCTACTGTCTCCGAAATATTCACTGCCAACCTCTGGATGCGATACTCGAGGACGACCATCATGAAAATGTCTAACACTAACAAGTTACATTCCTCAGACCCACCAGCTCAGGCTTTCACAGCTAGGATCCATAATGCAATATTTACTATGGCTGACCATCCCCATTCCATTTGTGCTGCTTTGGTAAGGAGTAAGTTCCACGCAGTTGGGTTCTTCCCCAGAACTGTTACTTTATGGAACAGACTTTCGAGAAGATGCTTCCCTGACCACTACAATCTTAACCTCTTCAAGCCCAGGGTCAGCTTATATCTATCCTACATGTTCTCATAATATGTACTTCTTACTTCCTCCTCCCCCCTCCATTACAAAAACTTTACTCAGTGAACCTCTACTTTGAGTAGCCTTTGGGCCATATATTGGGTGATCTTAAAGTTAAAAAAAATAAATCGGTGAAGCTATGGGAGAAATTCTGTTGACTGGATACCCTAGGATCTCCATGTGATTCACTCAAGGTTGCATCCTGATGAGATCACTTCAGCATTATTCAATTATTTGCCAAAACAGAAGAAAGCCATAATGATTTTGCCTAAAAAAAAAAAAAAAGCCAATCTATTCATTAGCATTCCTCCATAATTCATTCAGCATGTTTCCCCATTTTAATAGATGGGGCGTAAATATTTACCCATTGTTTACATATAAATTGAAGTATGTCTATTCGTAAAAATAGCGTCAAATTTTACATAATTCTTCCTAACATACTTTTGTTTTATTGCTCACAGTTTAATTAAATATGGTGGCTCAAACAAAGGAGGATCAATTTATCACATTGAAAATGGCTGATATGAAGAATTGTGAGTTGATAAAACAGTTAAATGTTTGAAAAAAAAACAATTTTTAATGTGTGGAAAAAGTTTCAAGAGAAGCAAACGAATTCACCAAATCTAATTCCAATAAAAACCAGTTTGTATCAGGAGAGTCATTGAAACAGTCAAGAAGAGACTTGAAAGAAATTCAAAAAAGAGGAAGATGACAGAAGAGCTGGATATTTCAGATAGCTCACTAAGGAGGATTGTGAAAGAGGATTTAGGGCTAAAACTATACAAGATTCAATGGCAGCAGCTTCTCTCGAATGTCTACAAGCAAAAACAACTTGGCATAGGGAAAAACTGTTGTAGGACGTGCAGTTTGCTGCAGACAAGATCTTCATTTGGTTAGACAAGAAGTTTTGTACTGTAGAGGCTGTGTTCAACTACTAAAATGTTAGTGTTTATGGCACTTCACCAAGAAACATTTTCAAGGACTTGAGAACACATACCAAGTGACAGAAACCAACTTGTGTTATGGTTTGGACTGCTGTTGCTTCTGATGGTTCAAAATCACCTTTGGTGTTGACTGAAGGAGTTAATAGCAGAGTTTAACAGCAATTGTTGGAGAGAGTGATGTGTTGCATTGGTTGTCAGCCACAAACATTTCCATGGATTTTTGACAAGTCAATTTGGCCTTTATGATAAAATGAATAATGGGCAAAATATGTATTTTGCACCCAGTAAATGTTTCTTGCCATCAATAGCAATCTATGTGTCAATTTGAAAAATTTGGCTATATGTATCAACTAGATGTTTGGCTAAAAGTAATGATAGAAACAGTGAGAATGGGATATTGGTTTGAACAACTAGAATCCTTAAAATGTTTCTTTAAAAAAAAATTTTTTAAAATTAGGCTATATTTATTACCTGTAATTGCCAGATAGGCTTTGTTTCAAAGAATTTGAAGATATGTACAAATTTAAAGAATTATACTTTTTTTTCCCCCACTTAAAATATCACCATGAATCAATATATATATATATATATATATATATATATATGCAGGTAAAATGAGAACAAATAGAATATGATTCCACTTTATGTAACATTTAATTTTAAAAGAGGGCTCCATATCATTCATAGAGTAGAGCTAAGTATTATTTTAGGATATTAAAACAAAACAAAAACGTTAAAAATTGCTTCACAATTAGTCATGTTTCAACACCACAAATGTGTCTTCTCAGGCAATGTCAAACCACTGGCGAGTGAAAGATTAATTTCAAAGCAGAATACTTTAAAAAAGAATAGGCTCTTTGCTGTACTTAACCAATCAATCATGACCTACACTAAATTCAAATTTTCCTTAAATGGATTACTATTCTATTTGTAAGATTCATTTTGATTTAATATTGCTTTGTATTGATGTTTAGTTAGTATTATTAACATCTTAGATTGATTAGTTGGTATTGTTAACATCTTATATGGATGCTCTTTATTTAATGGTTACATATTAATTTGCCAAAGTAGTTCTGTATTTTTTTTATCTGATTTTTTTTTCAAATGGTTAAATTATTTAATAGTTTCTTAAAGGGGCCTTTATGTAAGAAGCTGAACAAGCATATAATTGAATAGCATTGTGTTAAATTACCTCCCTACTCCTTTTATCTTTTACTTATTTAGAAAGTTGAACGTCAGGCTTTGATACATCTTATGAAATAATGTAGCAACTTGTATCTGTCCATAAAGAATTTGTCTACGATTTATATGCAGATATCTTCATGTCATGACCTATAATAAAAAAAAATTTTTCCGGTGAGTTTGAATTTAGCATAGGTCACATTCGATTGGTTAATCATGGCAAAGCCCAGAAGCCTATTTTTTTTAAAGTATTTTCCTTTGAAATTAACTTTCACTCACCAGTGGTTTGACATCGCCCAAGGAGACACATTTATTGTGTTGAAACATGACTGTAATTATGTAGTGATTTTTAACATGGTTTTGTTTTTTTATATATATATATATATATATATAGGAAATGTTAATTTGGAATCATTAGGGCTTTTTTTCTGTATAGTTAATAAATCAAACTCTTAGTTCCAATTCTGTTTGAATCTCTTTTACAAATCTGTTAACAACACTCAGGACCTGTGCTGTACTCTGATACACAAAATGTCTTCCATCTTGAATTTTGTTGAGGTTCTTGAAGACTGGACATCAAAGAAACTTTAATTTTGTACATTCCTATTTTTAGAAAGTTTGATGTACAAACTTGCACATTATATTTTTGGAAAAATAAAAACAGACTATAATACTATTAAACAAAATAGGTGTCAATATCCTAATATTGAAAATAGAGATTTTATTGACTGAAATTTTTCAGTCTTTGCTTTTACAAGTTTGCATACAATCAACAAGTGTAACAGAAAAATGAAATGTATTTCTACTCATTGACTTTTTTCTTTCTGTGATTACTCTTTTTCAGAAAAGCATTGAAGTTACTGATGGATGGTATTCAACAAAATTATTTCTTGACTGCCATCTTTCTTTCCTTATATCAAAAGGGAAGCTAAAAATTGGCCAGAAATTGTGCATATCCAATGCAGAAATTGTTGGCAGTGACACAGCCTGCAGCCCCCTTGAGGTAAATATTTCCCACTTTCACAGACTTATAAATACCAAAGATGATGTCTTCTTTATACAAGGTAAATACTTGTAAATTTTAGTTTTAACATAAATACAGTGTAATTGACTCCACTGAGACATAAGCCATATATACAGATGATATACCTGCAGTGGTGGTGATAGAACGAGTGAATATTTTCCGCATTTCACTGGTGTTTAGGCCTAAATAAAAGCTTGGATTTTGAATGCTGATTTTTCAAACCCGATTCAAGTGTGTGCCATACTGAATTAAGCTTTGTAAATATAAGTAAAAGCCTACATTATTTGTGCGATAGTAACATATTCACTACTGATAGCAGATGTTAATGTTTGAGCCCTGATGAGACCTAGGTTCACAAATGCTGATTTTTAAAACCAACAGGTTTTCTCCACTTGAGAATTTGCAGCAACACAGTTCTGTTATTCATTATTGTCCACATTTAAGAATCAAGATTTATTAATTGTAGAACATTTTGACATATCAATATGACAATTTTAGTACTGAGTTAAGTACAGTAAATATATTTATTATCCTATGTGATTAATTTTTTTCATTTTTAACACTGTCCTCTAACAGCAGTGAGAAATATATGACTCTTTCAACAATGAACAAACCCCACTTAATCACAAATGCAAGACACCAAATAAGAGATAAATAGACTACAGTGCTCTACAAATATTGCCTAAATCTGTTTTGCTGAAACATATTTTATTTACATTTTTTTCATGATTCTCATTTTTCAAGGTATTAATCCAGAGTTATCTGCTCTTTGTAGTAGAACCCCCATCCCACCCCCCAAAAATCCCACAATTTTATTTTTTATTTGTAGTTTAAATGTTACTTTTCAGAGCCCAGATAGTGTCGGTTTGAAAGTGTCTGGTAATTGCTGTCGTCCTGCACAATGGGATGCTAAATTGGGATTTCAGGATGACCCTCGACCTTTGTGCCTGTCTATCATTCATATTGCTGCAGATGGAGGACTGGTTGGTTGTATAGATGTCATTGTGACCAGAATCTACCCTATCAGAGTAAGATCATTAATACCAATCCACCATTTTAATCTCTTTAAAAAGATTTTATGTTAGTAAATTACCTTATCAAAAGGAATTAATATGCTTCTATTTTTCTACTTGTTTATTCCAATCTGGTGATGGAATAGTTGTCTGTGCAGAAAAGAATCTAGAATCATGTTCAAATTTTGGGTGAAGCTTTTTGCATTGATTTTACACTTGGGAAAGACATGAATCTGCATCTCCCTCTGCTTTGTCCTATCACCATATATTATGACAAAGGTTTTGTAATTGGTATGCCAATAATTGAGAGAATAAGAAGCAAAACCAAGTCAAGGGTTCTTCCATTAGATAAATCTGATCTGGCATCTCGTCTGCAGTTGCTCTCTCACAGACATGCCATCGCCTCCCTCTGTCTTTTTTACAAATACTTTCATGGTAACTGCTCCAATTAGCTGCTTTCGCTGGTTCCCAGACTTCATGAATTTAAGTGTTCAACTAAGCTGGCATCTCGCTCTCACTCTTTCACTGTCAAAACTGTTAAATGTAGCCGCCTCTTCTATTCCAATAGCTTCATGTCTTGCACTTCTCACTTGTGGAACTCCCTCCCCTTTTCCTGTTTCCCTAATAGCTATAATCTCCAACTATTCAAATCTAATGTCAATCGACGTCTCCAGATGCCTTGATCTATCCCCTATCATTCTCTTCATCCTTTCCTCTATCACTTCTATTTGCTCTCGCTCCAACTCTCTGTAACCCCTTGCATGCTAGTGGCTTCCCACCTTGCTTGGGGTGAAAGGCATAAAAAAAAAAAAAATACCAGTATTATCTGTCATACTTTCTTGCTTTCCATCTAATATTCAACAGCTCCATAATTCTGTACAAGAACATAATTGTACTGACACAAAAATCACAATACCTAAGGTTTAAATCAATTTTTTAAAATGAAAAAGCTTTCTTGTAGCTTACATTTTAGCTTTAATTGAAAGCTAAATTTACTATTTCCAATAAACAATTATATTGATAGGAATCAATTTTTTTTTTTTTTTTTTCAGTAACATTGTCAAAGTTGTCTATTTTTGAGGCATTTGTAAACACTAGTTCTCGGTTCTAAAAATCTTGCAAAAATAAAATATACTTTTCTGAAATTTTATTTGAGGAATATTAATGGATTTAAACTATAATTAATCTGATTTGAAACAAATATTATTTACTTTAAGTTTAAAATATTGAAGAAATGAATTTTTTAAGCAAATAGTAGGTGTGTTTTTAACCAGCTGTAGCTGTGTTTATGTGTTTTACAAGGTGATGACAGACTGATTGACGATCTGTAAAATGTAATTTAAGAAAATGACATGAGCTCCTTTTTATATAATTTTGAAGTACTAGGCAACCCTAAAAATTTTGGAAAATATTCTCTGTAATCTAATTTTAGGAATGTTGACTTTAAATTTACTCATTTTCTGATAATGTCATGTATGTTTGCTCATACTTTAAAAAATGGGCATGTTTACACACATAAAAAGAAAGTCCAAAATTCTTTTAAAATTCTTGATATTTGAAGACTGGTATTAAGTTTTTCCATTTAGGATTAGTAAATATTTTTTTCACTTAATAATCTAAAAGGTAGAAATTAATATGAAATTTTAAAATTTAAAACTCAAATTTTTCTTATTAAAATAAAAAGAAAAATGAAAACAATTCTTGTAAAAATTAATTATTCATCAAAAAAACAATTTTTTCTTAAGACAATAGTGTCCTTAATATATCTTATTTATAAAAGCAATTAGAAGATTTCTAATTAAATAATTTCATAGGTTTGCATTTTTTTTATTTTATGATTCAGAGCAGATTTTTATTACCCTAATTATTCATCCTCATTTCATATATCTGACTCATAATGGAATCCTTTCTAGTTTCCAAACATATTTCAGTTATGTCACATGATAATTCACCAAATTCATATGAACTCTATTTACTGAAAGCTGAACAAAGGCATTTATTGTAAGACAAATCAGCTAATCAGTGTTGGAGGATGTGATTCAGTGGCTCTGATTTATAGTTATAGGCAGTTAGAAACAGGAGTGGTTTATGGTTGGTGTAAAGAGTGATAAAAACTTGCCATACAATACTGATGAAATGATTTGGTAACAAACACAAATCCTTTGTTTTTATTATGAGTGTAACTTATCTCTCTGCTACTAAACAGAAAATGAAATATATAACACTGGTTTTTCATTCTTCTTATCCATTTTATGAGCTGTTAGTGGTCCTATTCCATCAGGATCAACATCTACATGCATCAGAATCGGTTTTCAAGAGTATCCTGCAAATCATTTTTCTAATCAGCTTCTCCACATCCAAATTTAACAAACAATTCAGTGAATCAATGTCAATAGACATCATTAGGTAAATGATAATTTTAAGCCCCAAATTTCAACTTAGTAACATTTTCTGTAATGATGGGTTTTTCTCTGTTGCAGCCTCTTCTCTGGAATGAGAGTTATGCCATTCTAAAACCTGTACATGTCATCTTTGGAAAAAAGAGCTGGCATTTGATTTTTTTCAATTTAAGTTCTCACTTGTCTCATACAGATAAGTATTTGTAAAAGATGATTCATCAAATCCTCAAAACCAAAATAAACACATCTTTCTGTCTGAATTTCTGCAATGAGAAGTGATCTATATACAGACTATTGTCCCTCATCTTTCTTGTTGTAATCTCAACATTTCAGCCACAGTGTCCTCCTGGCTGCATCGGGTGATTGTTGGTCCAGATAACCTTCAGGAAATTTCAAACTGAACCCTTTATTTCATCTCTGGGGATAGATTGTTCTCATTCTGCTTTCTATGTCTAGAGATATCTTGTCTTACTTAGTACTGCTCAGTTATTGCTCATCTTGATTTCACTGTCAAAGTACATACTGCCTAGTTCAGGGATTGAACTATGTCCCCAAATTCATGAATCAGCGCTTTAATCCACTAACATATTGTTCCATGTGATATGTCTGAGTGGAGAACTTGGAGCCTTAAATCTAACTTTCTGCTGATGAATGTTACTACTTGTCACACTTGACTGCACTCTTCATTAACTTGCTATCACATCTCTCTCTCTCTCTATTTATTAATGGCTCACATATCATATTTATTTCTTTGCTAGATCTACTAATGAGCTCTCATAGCCTAGCACATGTGCTGATTCTTTCAAACATCTGACTGTACAGTGTTCCTCTCTGTCCAGGATTTTTACCCTTTTCCTTCCATACATGATCAGCCATTCCTGATTTCATTGTCTCATATACAGCTTTTCAATATTTCTACAGTCCCTACTTTTAGTGAATGGCTAGCTTCACCTTTATATTCTTTACCACAACAGGCAAAGAATGGAATACACACAGTTCTTGGTCATGCTATCATGTCTTAGACTTGACTCAGTAGAAATTTCTCCATAGAGTTGAGCTGCTTCTGTATATTGTCCTAATGTTGTATGGACCGCAGATCTTCTGAATCTTTTCTGATAAGACCCTGACCTAAGGAAGATGGACCATGGCAGTTTTCTTGTACTCATCCTTGACCCTCCTATTTCTGCCTATAGATGCTGATGTTATATTTGCAGGATAGTTGTTCTTCTGAAGAATATGTTCATTGCTTAACATTTACTGTTGGCATGTGTCTGAGTGCCACTTATGATTTTAATCTAGTGTTTTATGCATCAGATTATCACTTTCATTATGATATATGGAATTGAAGTTTAGGTTTTATTTGGTGAATGCTGGCTTGCAATATATGGATGGATTCTTTTCTATTCCTTTTTACTTATTTTCATTATTTTTTGTTTCTATTTCCTCTCTCACATCTTTATTTCTTATTCTCTTTCTCTCCCTCTACTACTTGCTCCATCGTCCCTATTCTTTTTCTTTTTCAGTATATGGAGAAAGTTCCCGGTGGTGGAAGTGTCTTCCGGTCAAGTCGAGCTGAAAGCAAACAAGAACAAAGACATGAAGTGTTGCAACAGGAAGCAGTGGAAAAACTCTACAATAAATTGCAGGCTTCTTTTGAATCCTGCTTTCCTAAACAAGGTTCCTATTCATTACCACAGCTGAACTTACTTTATTTGAGACCCCAATTCCTTAACATTAGTTTCATGCAACATTTTATCAAAATAATTTAACATTGCAAATAACCACATTTGTTTTTATTTCCAACAATACGTTTCCAACAATACTTATTAGTGAAATCAAAATGTTTGCAGTTAAAAATCTACCTTTTAAAACCTGAAATCAGTTTGATGATAATTAGCCTTGAGTCAATTTCTTTGATACAAGGTATTTCTCAAATGTTGCAATATTTACATATATCATTATAATTTATGAACAATAAAATGATGGAAATATAGCGCAAAGATTCAAACTTGTATTCTATTACTCCAAGAGTCTGTCATTTCATACTTTGAAGTCCTTTATAACTTTACTTTTAATCTTTTTATAATCTTCTAAAATTGTTTTGTTTTTTGTTTTTTTAGGTCTTGCTTTAATCCCTCACTTATTTTGTTAACTTGTTTATGCCTGAACAAAAATGAAACGCCTGCAAAATCTTTGATTTGTCCCTTTCTTTCAGAAATTATTGGAGGACACAGCAGTTTTTTTATTTTTAAGCAAAGTTTAATTCCTATAATTATTTCACTTTGCTTTTTTCCTTTAAAAAAAAATTCAAATTCAACAATTCATTTTTTCAATTTTTCCATTTTTTTGTTTCATTTGCTAAATTTGAAAATTTATTACAGATTCTTTTTCAGATAAGGATGAAAAAAATCAAACCCAATTTTTATGGAATGATTTTAACAATATTAAAAAGAAATTTTGTTTGTTAATATGATTTTTTGTAATTTTTTTTTCCATATTAAGTTTGATTTATTGCAAAATCTCCGTGATGTAGGAAAGGAATTTGTCTTTTATATTTCCCTTTAATCGATATAAACACTAGTAATGCACAGTGACATAATCTACATGAAATTGTGTATCAAAAGCACTGTTTGTGTTTGTAGGTTCAAAACAGTGTAAGAACTGGAGCCAAGAAGAAATCCAACAACTGGACAATGGTCAAGACCTTTATGAAGCCATGATGTATGCATTACAACCTGATACGTTCCTTGTTAGTATTTGATTTGAATTTATTTATCTAACCCTGATCCTATTAAATTGTTATTGTTAGTTGAGATAGTAACAAAGAATGGCAGACTGATGCATATATATGAGGGATTGCTGAAAAGTTCTGAGCTCGACCCATTTTTCAAAATCTGATTAAGTAACCAAACAATAGAATTTTGGGGGTTGAGCCAATAACTTTCCAGCACCCATTTATATATATTTAATGTGATTCCTCTATAATGATAAAATGTTTTAAGGGTTTAGCAAATCTTAACAAAGATCTTTGATAAGAATTATTTAAATGTAATAATGCCTTCAACAAGAAATACATAAGATTATTGTAAATATAAAAAAAGTATTACTGCCCATATTTTTTATTTCAAGAACAAAGATTTAAAGTTCAAATTATTTAGACGATATTTTTGTATCTCTGCAATTATTTTTTATTTTTTTGCTTCTCTATCATAATATGTACAAGTTTCTATCAGGAATCTGGGTAATTTTGCCATAAAAAGGTAAGTTCTTAATGTACATTTTTTTTTTTCTTTTCAGAGAACTGTGTGACAAAGAGTAAAAGCAAAAGTCCATGCTACATTTGGCTTTCATGCATTATTCAAATTCCACAAAATTTTGTCTTGTATGTTTGTCACTGCCATTGTTTTTGAGAATGGGTTTTCTTTATTCTTCAGGATTGCCTTTCAGAATTGCAGTTGGTTATGCTGGCTGATTACAAAAGATTGGCTGAAGAATTAAAAGCTCAGAAAATGAAGGAAGAATTCCAGAACGCCATTTCCAATGACAAACATGTATGTACAAACGGCTGGGATGGTTGGACTTTACTGACAATTTAATATATTATCATTATAACATAAATCCAGACTTTAAAATTATCAATTTTTTTTTTTTCTTTTTCATTTTACTTTAAAACAAAAATTGGCAGCCATAACAAATACAAATTTGTAGTTGTTTTATATCAGTTCTAATTACACGATACATCACAATACAGTGGTTATTTTTTGTTTTGTTTTTCATTAAAAGCAGTTTAAAACTCAATTATTTTTTTTATCTTCATTAACTAAATAATCTTTAAGATATGTTAAACCAGTGGAAAAATATCTTGTACAAAATAAATTATTTAAAATAGAATCCTCAACTTGTTGTTTTGAACTCTACATTTCAGTCAGTGGGCTTTCTAATTTTCCTCACATGCCAGCAATCTTTTTTTTTCAAAGCTCCATCATGCCTATTGCTTAATCAATACAATAACAACATTTTTTCACTTGAATTAGTGAGTAAGAGAAAAGTTGTTATTTTCTTAGTTCAGGATTATCAGATGTCATATAGATTTGAGGATAAATAGATAGCCAACCCACACAGTGATCAAAACAAGAAAGTTAAAGATGCTTGTCTGAATTATTCCTCAAGTAATAAATCAGTATTTTTCAAATCTACTACTTCTATTGTATACAATTGTTGGACTTACAAATTTATATAAATTCATTTTTGAAAGCAAATAACTTATGTTTTAAATCATGTGTAGTTGCTGCTTTTAATTGCGATGGTTCTTCCTTTCAGGCCAGTCTGAAGAGAAATGTCACTCCTGTAATGAAAGTAAGACTTGTTGGTTGCAGCCATATTGATCAACAACAAAAGGCCAGTAAGTTTTATTTTCCTTCATTATCTATGTAACGAGCATGCGGGGGAAACGTCCTCGAACTGTGTGTGTGTTGTCGCCGGGCACACCTTCAAGTACCATAAGAAGTTAGTGTTGGTGCAAAGCCATCCATTGCTATGGAAGCCCTAATCGTGGATGGAGACCTGCTTGGATTTGACTTCCTGCTCGGACTAGACGCCATCAAATAGTTGGGAGGGATATCTGTAACTGGCACCAGAGAGGTGAAGTTTCCGCAGTGTGTTGGACCAGTCGTTGCTGCCATCACCATTACCAAGCCCGACTTTAAAGTAGAATTCGATGAGACCACTCGGAGGTGGATCGCATCTTGGAAGTGGGCTGGCAACTGACCCCCGGGTACGTTATGAAATAGACTGGCAGAATATCCAGCTCCCACACAAATTCGGGAGGAGTATGATCGGAAACTCCAGATTTGGATAGATAACGGCTGGCTGCTTCCTTACCCGGAGGAGGAACTCAGACCCCCAAAGGGTTCAATCCCCCTCATGGCCATTCAGCAAGAAAACAAACAGAAGGTTCGGCCCATTATGGACTACCGGGAACTCAATGAGTATGTTGACGCGTACGCGGCCAATGCAGATGTTTGTTCGCAAAAATTACGGGAATGGCGTCAGCAAGGACCAAATGCTGCAGTGCTGGACCTACACCGGGCATATCTGCAGGTACACATCGACAAGTCCCTTTGGCCATTCCAAACAGTGGAGATTAAGGGACAAAGGTATTGTCTAACCCGCTTAGGATTTGGGCTCAATGTTACCCCAAAGGACAATAAAACAGCTTCAACTGCACCGGCGTATGCAACCTACACTTACAGTGTCCACATTAAGGGTATCGACGCAACTTTGGTGCGTGACAACAGAGTTGCCAATCCTTATATGGGAGGAGAGACTGTCTGTGTGAAAAATCCGCATGGAAGGTGTACAACACAGTTCAACAAAGGTACGGTGACACAAATTAATAGCCCACATTCCGTCTCTGCTGATGGAACACCACACCACATAAAAGATGTGCGTCCAGCGTGCGGGAAGGATTATTCCATCAGCAACCACATTAGTTCTTGTGATGATGATGAAGCCCCGATGGTATATATAAAATCACAGGAAGAGCACACCTCAGAGAGTAGTGCGTTTGATGAACCTATGCGGGATGAGCTCAGCGAGACGTCTGAAGAGAGCACCACTGAGGAAGCACTTGAGACCATACCACTGAGACGGGGCACCAAGCAGAAACGGCCTGCCTCACATTGCCATTTGTGTGATCTAGAGATCAGGGAGGAGTGTAACAAGCATGCGTGGATACGTCCTCGAACTGCGTGTGTGTGTGTCGTCGCCGGGCACACCTTCAAGTACAATAAGACGCGCGAGTCGTTTGGTGTCTTTTCTTGGGCGACACAAGCTGTTGCGGTCGGTTGTCCATCGGCAGCAGTCTTGAGTGGCGTTTTGCTCATTTGCTGTTGTAAAGTGTTTGTTCGCAAGAAGGTGTTCGTTTTTGTGTCGCATTCGTTTCAGGTTCACAAGAAGGCGTTCATTTTTGTGTCACAAGAAGTTTTTTTTTTTTTTTTTTTCCCCACGTTTTCTCGCACAATCTATACCTCCTTTTTTTTCTTCTTTAATTTTTATATCTGATGGGTTAAATTCCTGCAAAATGATTGGTTTATACAGCATGAAGAAAAGTAAAACTCAAGTTTTTGGTGTAGCATGCTATGTTTTATCATCATACCAAAATTGTTTCCTTTTCTCTTAGCTACAAAGTAAGTAATATTTCCTGTCCTCAAAACCCAAATTTGTTTATTTTTTCTACTTTTTTTATTCTTTTTGTGCACCACTTACTGATTGAGTTACACTCATAGGTATTGGTAAAAAATTTTGTTTTCAGGAGGATATTTCTAGATTGAGGACAAGGACTTCCATGCAGAATTTGATAGAGAGCAATGGACAATCTTCTGGAAGAGATAACCTCCCATGTCAAGGAAAAAGTTGAACATTTCAGTCAAGGAGACAGGAGGTGGATTGATGAAGGTACCTGAGAAGTGAAGTGTTGCTGCTGGTGGTGGTAGCAAATATATATCACAATGTAGAAAAGGAAGAGTGACAAACTTACATTAGAATGTAACAATAATATCTCATTCATGTAGCTTATTATTGTCTGGATCTTTGTAGGATTGGCATCTGTAAATGAGGAAGCCAGTGAGGATAGATGTAAAGATGACAAGGCAAATATTGTAATCCTATAAAAATCACATAAATCAGCATTCACTTAACTGGATGAGCAACTATGAGGTAGTGTAATTAAGATGAAATTAGGTTAGTTAATTATAAATTGATATAAGTAGAAATGAAGGTTTTTTTGTTTGTTTTTTTTAGAAATGAATATTTTTCTTATTGTCTTTTTGTAACTTTGTGACACTATTTAGCTATGGTAATTGATTAACTAATTAACCATAGAAATTAAACATGAAAATACTGAGAACAGAAAAGAAGATAACCTAAGATTTTATTTTTACTTTTTAAAAAAAAAAATTACTTTTCTCAAAAATCCAAGAATTGGCTTAAACAGTAGACTCAAAAAAGGCCACATGCAAGCTTTTGACAATTGATCAATGATGTTTGTAAAAGTACTGGTTAAAGAAAAACTGAGAACAAGATATCATTCGAAATCACAAGATTTTAGAAGTCGACCAGGCGATGAGGTCATATGTTGATTATAAAAATTTTGGCATGAGAAAATATTCTGAAATATTTGCCAATACGGGGTAAAGAGAATTGCCATTATTTATTTTTCCAAGATATCATTTTAAGTACCGGCAAGGCCACATGTTGATTATAAAAATTTTGGCATGAGAAAATATTCCAAAATATTTGCAGATACGAGGTGGAGAGAATTACCATCATTTATTTTTCTCAAGGAAGCCAAGAGTTCGTGTAGATGCTAAACTCCACAAAGGGGTCAAAAGGGCTTTGATAATTGATTGATGATGTTGTAAAAGTACTGGTCGAAAAAGAAAAAAACAGAATAACCAAGCGTTAAGGATATGGTTTTAAGTGGCCATGTGTTGATTATAGAATTTTGGCATGAGAAAATATCTCGAAAGAATTGCCGATTTGAAGATAAAGAGATTTATTTTTCTTTTCTAAGAAGCCAAGGGTTCCCACAGACCTTGACGATTGATGTTGTTTGTAAAAGCACGGGTTAAGAAGGCACAAAGTGGCCAGGAGTGTCGAAGATATCAGAGATTTTAAGAGACAGAAGCATTTGTTATTTATAAGAATTTTGGCCGGTGAGAACAAGAATTTTATAAACAAAAATTCTAGTTTATAATTTTAATGAGGCCAGCTTAGTCACACCCTCACAGCCAGGACGCCATTCGTCAAGTGGTAGCAATGGTGATAGGAGGAGGTAATTTGTAGCGAAAGATGGGGAAATTATTAACGCCCACTGAAAGGAATTGGTATAAGTACCAATGTGAGAAGGAGGGAGTTTGGGAGGATAGCTATCCTGCAACCTCTCCACACAACCGAAGGGTTCCCCCCGAAAATGGAAAATAATCAATTTTCCTAGCCAGACCACAAAGAGGTACCTTGTCAAAAATCAGGATTTACCGAAAACCCCTGGCTGCATTTAACCCCGCACCAGTTTTTGGTCTGTGTCCATATAAGCGAGCAGTTCACCAGTAGTTATGAAAAGTTTCAATTCAGTAGTTCGAGTAGCAGGACGCTGATTGAGAGATTCCACAACCTTTGACTTTGCCTTTCCTACCAATAGCAAGTTATACTGACAAACGAAGCTAAGCCAGCACTTAAAAACTAAACCAGTTGACTTAGAAGACTAGAACTTATTTAAGAAGTATAAAAGTGTCATTCTCCAAAGAAACGGGTTGAAAGAAAAACACACACTCCTGTATGTAACAGATGGATAAAAGTTGATTTGTTTCTTTCAACATATTTGAACCTCTTGGGATTTTATTTGCTTCTTTTCTTTATGCTTGTGCGATATTACCTCCAGTTTTACCTCTTACACTACGACTCAATGCCTAATTGATCTCGTCTACCTAAGACCTATTTGCTCTCTGTCTATTATTTCAACCTCATTACACAGTGAACAGTGATCTCCCTTATCCCTCCATATGTGGTCAGCTACACCTGATTTTTCTATTTCCCCTCGTGTTACTACTTTATGATGACCTCCATATGTGGTCAAGGACACATGGCCGAGTGGATAAAGTAGTTGGCTAGATCCAGTGACTAGACCGAAAGAGTATATGGGTAATTCAGTTCGCTTATCGTTTGGGATGACTGAAATGGATTAAAGTGCTTGCTTTCGTCCAGTCCTCCGGTCTACTAACTGAGCTGTTGCTAGTAACCTCTTATTCTCTCAGTCTCATTAGTATGCCATCACACCAACAACACGATCTGCAGTCTTCCTCCCAGACTCGCTATTTATGCCTGTGTCGGGGGTCCTTGGCATTTTCGGTGTCATCACAACCTTCCTCATCGTCTGAATCTGTACTCTCTGATACAGGAGGCAGACCATCTGACTGCATTGTGCAAAACATTGTTGTCTCCAAATCACAATCAGACAACATATCTTCACTGTGACACTCTTCTTCTGAGGCAGTTAACTCATGTCGCGGGTGAAGGTTTTTCACATGGTGTGGCACACCATTGACCCGGACTATTGGGAGCTAATAACTCCATCAACTTGTCCTCTACTAAATCTAGTGGTACAACGTCCATTTGGGGGCTTGACCAATACGAAATCACCAAATTTATATGGTTCTTTGGTATTCTTTGGAATGTTTGGCATTACTTGATCTATCCCCTTTATCCGCTGTCTGTATGTATATATTCCATTGGCCGGAGCAGTTGATGGTGTTATATCATCTTTGGGGGTGACATACCAATACACAGCTTCTTGAATGGAACACCATGTTCTGGCTGCTATTCTTTTAATGGTGCAGTGACACCGCTCCGCTATACCGTTGCACTCTGTACCTTACTCACACCCCATTCGACTGCGAAGTCCTGAAAATCTCGGCTACAGAAAGTTGGGGGCATTGTCTGTCAATATTTCAATGGCAGGACCACGTTCATAGAAGATAGCTTGTAATTGTTGTATAATCAATAATGCATCTTGTCACACCAGTGGGTGCCATACAGTGAAACGCGTCAGGCCACAATCCGTCAAAGTCAGAAAATGATCACGTCCATGCCCAGTCGCCACCAAATTTTGTCTATCCCAAGCTTGCCCTTGTTCCACTGGACTGGGGCAGGGTCCACCTCACAGCATTCCTCGCAACCTTGTACGGCTGACCTAACCATTGCTTTTGTCACTGCAGGACATACTTTCTGGACGAAGTAAGTCGAACTCCAGGATGACTGCTCTTGCTATGTATAGCACGGATTTGTTCGATGGTCAGCTGGCTCGTAACAGCCATGCACGTCGGTGGCTCTGATCCCTGTTTCAACATGTCAAGCCATCTTTGTGGTACTCTAGTCAACTTATCAGCCAGGTTCCTCTGTGACGTAGTCAGTGTGGCGTCAACTACCAAACCATATTCTTCGACGAGCTGCTGTAGGTTAGCCAGTCTCCTGCGCACTAGCATCTCACTCGCAGCTTTTGTCCTCACTTGGGTCTTGCCTGTCAGAATATTTTGCAGCCATTGGTACATGCATACCAAGTCCGTGTATAGGTGTATCACCTTAGCCCACCACTGTAATGCCAGATTTATACCTTTCAATGCGGCATCCAATTCGGCCACGTTCATATGTTGCGCATCATTTCTTGGTCGAAGCCAGTACACATCTTCTAGTATAACTCCCCGGTTTTCCAGCAGCACACCTATTGCCAGGGAGCTTGCATTAACACATGCATTGACTTCTTCTCCAGTCATGCACCAATCTCCCCAAACAGAGTCATCTTGGTGCACTCTAGTCAGCGTTTCAACAATCATCTGCGTAAGAGTGGCATCTTTTATAATGTCATGCCACCCGTTTGTTATCATGCTTGCTCGTCTTTTTATCATTCCTGTGGCTGCACAGAGCCACCCACATACAAGAAAGTAACTAACTTACCACATACAGAAAATACTGTGCTTCATGTTAGTGTAGTGGGAAGTTCTTAACTGAGGTCCCTTGCTTCCACCGCAATGTGTTGTTCTCTCTCCCAGACTTTAAGCCCAGTCACATCGGCCCCATCCTTTAATTGAATAGGGTCTTTGCTAGACAAGCCAATAGATTCTAATCTGGGCCTGACTTCATTCGCTGAAAGTATGCCCTCATTTACATATATGTCACCAACATATGCCAATGCAGATCTTTTCATCAGCTCATCCTGATCTAACGCTGCCTTAAAGATTGATTTCATAATCAGGGGAGCCACATTAAGACCAAACCCCAGATGCATCAAGCAGTACCTCTTTCCTTTGATAAAAACCGTTTGGACAATAACATCTCATGGATTCATATTTGAAGATACGCTTTTTGCAGGTCAAGCAGAGCCACCTTAGCTCCTTGCTGCTGCCATTCCCTCATTCGTTCAGCACACACATCTGCATCTGCTGTAAAGGCATCTATGTATTGATTTATCTCCCTATAGTCCATCACTGGCCATAACTTAGCCTTGGTGGCTTGTGCAACGACCATTAAGGGGATTAATTCTCTTGGGGGCCCCAATCGGTCTTGCCGATATGGTATCGGCCAGCCATTCGCAATCCACGTCTCCATTTCACTCTCGTAGGCAGCTCTTTTCTTATTTTACACATTATATTCCGCAACAATGTTGCGTAATTAATCTGCTGCTTTATTTCCTGTCTAATTCTATTCCGCTGTCCAAGTCTTTGTTCCTTGGTCATACACAATACAGAAATTCCGTTCCTCAATTGTAATGGCAGCACATGAGTCACAATTTCTCCCGAGCTGCAATTCCCCAGTACGCATGACCATAACACTGGTGAGTTTACATATGGCATCAATTACGATTAGCAAATCTTACCCCGGAGGCTTGTCACAAACCCCCCAGTGCATCCACCTCGGCACAATCACCTCCATCTGTTAGGATTGAAATCACTCCAACTCCACAGGACACATCAGACGTCCTGTCAATAGTCCTAATTGTCACATGTTGCTTCTTCCAGATCTGACAGCAGTTTGCACTGATTATTGAACGGGAACATCCCATGTCAATGAGAGCCAAACATTGCACTCCATTCACACATACCCTGACTATGGGCAAATCCATACTTACTGATTGACAGGGGGCAAGGGTGGCGACAGTTCCTTGCAACTAAAATTTGCATATGAGACTTCTTGTTTGCCAAAGACTTCCGATTTTATAAATTCAAGCTGGTTTGAATACTTAGTCTTTTTTATTTTTTTCCTTTGTACATCTGCCCGCAATATAGGAATTTCGGAATAATCCATTTCTCTTTTAATGCTGGTTGCGATCTTTCAACAGGACCTGACACGCCAAGCAAATTCACTTTGCGGGAGGTAAGTCATCTCATTCTTCACAGAGTTCTTAGTTCAATACCAGGCCACAGCAGTGGTGACCCAAAACTTGGAGAGTTGAGTTAAAGGGAAATAACTGAGACATCTGAAAGAGGCATGACACGTGGAACTAGAAGAATCTACCCTGGTGGATGAAATAAAGGGTTCAATTCAAAATTCCAATCACCTGAAGAAGGCCAGTGTGTACAACAGCCGAAACATTGAATATGAATCTGAGGGTAACAGTCCAAATAATGTAAATAATTGAAGTAAACATAATACCTCATCTCAGAGATATAGACAGAGACCCACTTATTGACTAAACATTTAGATGACTTTCAAATATTTTCCAGTTTGATTTTGTGTTGTGCGAATAAATAATTAATTCGGCATTTGCTTCTATTATTTTTGTTTCACTTCATTTTGATAAAGCAGGAAAATATTTTGAGATACTATTTTTTTATTCTCAGATAAAGTATTGTAATTATTTCATAAATTATTCAATGAGTATCTTCATTTTATTGTTTTGATCACAATGTTTCACTTGGCATGTTCTTTGGTTTTCTTCAGTATTATTAATTCCAAGTTGAACTATTGTCATTATACCAATGAATTATATAGACTAGTATTTTTTATTAGTATGAACATTATATTTCATGGGTACACATGTTTGAGGAGACATCCATCTTTTGGGTTTTTTTTACAGTGAAATTAATGCCAACTGTGCTCATAGATTGAAAAATTCTGCTAAAGAAAATATACCTCCAAACAAATTAAATCTATATTCTTTTTTTTTACCCATCAGGTGAAAAAACACACACTTCTAGGTTGAGTGTGCCTTTGCCAATTCATTTACCCTATTTGATAAATGGGCATTTCTTGTTGGAACCTTTCAAAGTCTATATCTGCTAACTTTATTTTCATAGCCAAAATGAGACCTGTGAGTGGTTATTCACGTCAAAGCAGCAGAAATTAGCTTTGTGTTAACGGAGATAAAACATACATTACAGAAATAACAGGAAAGTATCATGTATGTTAATTTCATACAATTTATTTATTTATTATGTGTACTGGTGTGTGTATTTTTGGTTGTAAATATTTCGTGGTACAACTAATGAGAGGAAGAAGTTTCTTTGAATTATTACACACCATGTTACAGAGAGGTTTGGACACATGTTGACTGTTCAAAGGTTTGTGGGGAAGAGATTGAATTTAATGTCTTTTCACAGGATGTTCATATTTCTGGCAGGAACAGATTTTGTTGCTTGCTGGGAGCATTTTTATTATTTTTAATTTTTGTTTAATTTATTTTAAACAAGGTTTAAATGTTACTGTTTTATTTTATTCATAATTTTCATTATTATTATTTTATATTTTATTTATTTGTAATAATAATGTCTCTACAAGCCAAAGTAATTTGAAAGCAGTTAATAGACTTTTTAATACAATATTATTTCTTATTACTAATATTGTTGGACTTCTCAATCTATAAGCTGGTTGACATAAAATTTGTAGTTTTAAAAAAAACAGGAATGTCTATTCCAACATGTGTATCCACTAAATATAATGTTTATAGTAATAAGAAATATTGCTAAATTAAAAATCCATTAGTTACTTAAAAATACACTGGTATTTTTTATATTTGCTTTAATTTATTTTGATGACAACATTTCAGTTAATTAACAGATGCAAGATTGAACCAAAGAAAAATCCATGTTCAGTTCCTTTCTAGATGCATTTTTTTGTTTGTCATAATACTATTCATATGTTGGTTTTGTTTTAGGCACCATTTTGACAATCTGGAGACCTTCTGAAGACCTGCAACAGTTGCTTGAGGAAGGTCAGCGCTACCGTATTTATAATGTCATGCCATCACCTGCCAGGTATGATAAAATATTTCATTTAACATTTCTTTTATTTTGACTGTAATCAAAACTTTTGTTTCAGAAAAATCCATAACTCCAGTTCTCAATGATTTTACATTTACAAAGAAATCATGTCTTAGTGATTGGCCTTTTGATCTCAGAAATAATTGATGCATTTAGTCATTTAGAGTTATTTAACACTATAGTGTCCTCTCCAAATAGTATCAGACAGTGTGAACACTGTGTCACAAGGTACAAGCAGTAAAGGAGAATCACTAATCTAAATTCATTTGTTATTTGTTATATATAACTATAAAATTATTCGTAATTTTTTATTAAAACTAACAAATTACTCATACTTTATCTTATTTTCTATTGTTGCTTTTTGCCCTTAAAGCCTCTCCCTCGGAAACGCTCGCGAATCTGTGCGTCGTGCAAACTCCGATTGCTCAACGGTAAAAAGAACCAAAATGGCATGTTTTATGCTGGGCAGTCTCAGACAGTTAACGCGAAATCTCGTTGTCTCGTCATTTGCATGCAAATCATGGTCGGTCCTTGGCTGTATAAAGCAGACACGTTTTTGTTTCTGAGGACTGAGTTTTTTACTTGTGAGAAGGTTGGACGTGTGACACTATTTTGTCGGTTACCCTCCTCGCATTTCCTATCTGCTATTATCAGTTGAGTTATTGCTTTACCACCACAGATTGCTAACCACACCCCACTCCTTAACTATTTTGCCCCCTCCCACTATCTGACTGAAAGAATGGATTCTACTCAGATTTTTTAATTCAGTTCAGCTTCTCATAGTTCTGAATGTTTTTATCTTTAACAGAATAGGAGTTTGATTATGAATGGCATAAATGACAGTCTCATGCATAAATGCTGAAGAGAGAAATCATGTGATTCCTCTGTAAGGACAGAATCTTTTAAGAATTTAACCAATTGGAGCATTTGACAAAAATTATTTAAATGTAATAACAGCTTCAACAAAAAGACTAGACTGTTTGTCACCCAGGCTAGAGGATTAAATCTACCCTGTTATTTTACCTATAGCTGTAGTGAGGTGGAGAGACAAGATGGATTCGTGCCTTTTTCAAGGGCATTTCTTGTAAAATGATTTGACACTTAATCATTTATGATTTGTGATTTATTTTTTTTTATTTTTTTTTATTTTTTTTTTAAACAAATGTGACTTTTATTATTTACTTATTCATATCTATCAATATTGCATCTTGACAGTGTATTTTATATTGAACAAATTATTTAGTAGTAGAAAAACTATTAGGAATGAATAAAGGTTAACAAGAAATTTTCAAGTCCAAAGTGAGTTTTAGGATAGTAAGTGGCATGGATACTAAAACTAAAATTTAATTTTACAAAGAATTAAATCTGAAAAAAAAAGCTTAGAAAAACTCAAGCTGTTATCTACCAAACCAGAGTTGATAGAAAAAACAGGTTGGGATTAGTTTTGTTGTGTATAATTGACTTCAATTAAATATAAAAGAATATTAAAATTAATCAAATGACCAAGTGTTTTCATTTAATAGAATAAGTTCTCTTGACCAATAATAACTTGAAAGCCTTGTTCACATGTAACAAATGTTTGTTTCTCAAATTTTAAGAAAAGTTCCCTTGTTTTTCTCAAGAGGGTAAAAAGATGCAAAAAGTATCAATTCAAAATAAGTTGAATATGCAACAGTTCTTTCTTTTTAAAGCATTTCCACGAATTTAGCTCTAAATTCAAAAAGAAATTATGAATATGATGTTTGATTCTTATCTATTGTTGATTTCCCCTTCCCCTCTTATAGTCAGGAGGACATGAAATGCATGCTGGGATATTTTTCTTAGCTAGAAAAAGGCATGAAAATTGTTGATAAATCAGATACAAACTGTGAAACCCGTATCCAAGGCAAAACGGTACAGTATGAAAACAAATTACCTGATAAATTGGGCAACTAAAATATTAGACCTTGTTCATTGTGATCTTTCTGGCACAATTGAGCCAAGATCTTTAAATGGCTTTAAGTATACACTTTGTTTTGTTGACAACTATTGTGGTCTAATTGTTGATATTTTCTGAAACAAAAAAAGCAACACACATGCTGCCACAAAGAAATATCTGGCTGACATTACTCCGTATGGCTCTGTAAAATGCCTAAGAAGTGATAATGGCATGGAATTCACTTGTAAAAATCTTTTAATTAATAATAAAATGAAAATCTTGAAAATCTTTTAATTAATAATAAAATTAAACATGAGAAATTTGCTCCATATTCCCCCCACATCAAAATGGTATGACTGAAAGATGTTGGCATTCTTTATTCATAATGTGTAGATGTCTATTAATACAATAAAAGGAACCAAAGTTTTTGTGGTCATATGCTCTTCTGACTACTGCCTATATTAGAAATCAGTGCTACAGTCAAATATAAAAAAAAAAAAACTGCCTTCGAAATGTTCATGGGTCGCAAACCTAACCTCACAAATATGCATATATTTGGCACAATTTGTTATGCATACGTACAATATAGAAAAAAATTGGACCATGTGCGAGAAAACTGGGGGGAAAAAAAACAACTTCTTGCGACACAAAAATGAACGCCTTGCAAACCTGAAACAAATGTGACACGAAAACAAACGCCTTCTTGCAAACGAACACTTTACGACAACAAACGAGCAAAATGGCACCCAAGACTGCTGCCGGCGGACGACCACAACGGCTTGTGTCGCCCAAGAAAAGACACCAAACGACTCGCGCATCTTCTTCTTGTAGTCCACGATCGAGTCCATTATTGTACTCGAAGGTGTGCCCAGCGACAACACACACACGCAGTTCGTTTCCGCATATGCTCGTTACACTCCTCCCTGATCTCTAGATTACACAAATGGCAATGTGGGGCAGGCCGTTTCTGCCTGGTGCTCTGTCTCAGTGGTATGGTCTCAAGCGCTTCCTCAGTGGTGCTCTTTTCAGACATCTCGCTGAGCTCATCCCGCATAGGTTCATCAAGCGCACTACTCTCTGAGGTGTGCTCTTCCTGTGATTTTATATATACCATCAGGGCTTCATCAGAAGAAGAACTAATGTGGTTGCTGATGGAATAATCTTCCCGCACGCTGGACGCACATCTTTTATGTGGCGCGGTATTCCATCAACAAAGACGGAGGTGGGCTATTAATTTGTGTCACCGCATCCCTTTGTTGAACTGTGTCGTATTAACCTTCCATGATTTTTTCACAGTCTCTCCTCCCATATAAGGATTGGCAACTTGTCGTCACGCACCAAAGCTGCGTCGATACCCTTTAATGCGGACACTGTAAGTGTAGGTTGCATTCGGGTGCAGTTGAAGCTGTTTTATTGTCCTTTGGGGTAACATTGTGCTAATATACAGCTTCCAAAACTGAACACCACGTTCTCGTCAGAATGCGCTTTATTGCAACGATGGATCTCAACTATCCCATTCCCTGATGGTAAGTGGGTACAGCAAAATCGTATTGGTACATTGCACATCTTTGCAAACGCGGCAAACCTCTCTCCACAAAACGCTGCGCCATTATCTGTAAGCAACTTAACCGGCAACCCTCTTTCACAAAACACTACTTCCAGTTCCTTGATGATGCTAGCAGAGTCTTGGCGGTTCAAGGGCTTCCAAATAGCAAAACGACTGGGGCCGCAGTCTATCAGCGTCAGGTATAGTTGATGTCCGAAATGTCCATCACAACCCTGTGCCAATTTTCCGAGACATCAAGCCTCCCCGGTTTCCAACGCACAGGGCCGAGTCGATTGTCTGGCATTCCTTGCATCCCCTAACCACCGCTCGCACTATAGAGTGTTCTCTTCACACCAGGATGTCTGCTGGATTGATGAATGGCTCGTACTTGAGCAACATCTCGCTCTTCAGCCACAGCGCATATAGTTTCTCTGGGTTCCGTTATTTTGCGCATTTCATTTAACCATCGCTGCAATACTCTGGTAAGCTGGTCGGCTCGATTGTTGCATGCGTTGACAAGCTCTACATCAATGTCCAGCTCGTATTCTAAGGCCAACTCTTGGAGTGTGGCTAGCCGACGTCTGATTAGCATCTCGGAGGCTGCCTTGGTGCGCACTCTCGTCCGTCCGGACAGAGTGTCAGCTACCCAGCGATGCTGAGTCTGTCCGTAAATGAATGGTTTTGGCCTTCCATTGTAATGCAAGGTTGACACCTCGCAACACAGCATCGAGCTCAGCCAAGTTGATGTGCTTGTCTTCGTGCACCGGTCAGAGCCAGTTTGCGTCTTCTGCCACGTCTATAAGTTTTTTTTATGCAAATTGTGAAAATTCAAAAGATTGGCATAGCATTACAGAATATGGTTTCTAATTAGCACCAAAGCAGTTCAATGATTTTATGGGAAACAAGAACGCAACCTACACAGTCTACCATCAATGTTCAAAGCACATAGATATAAAGTATCACATCATAAGGACTGAAACTCAAAAGCGTACAATAAAATTAGACTATATACCAATGGAAGAAAATGTTGCTGATTTATTTACTAAACCTATAGGCAGAACAAAATTAAATAAATTTTTTACTGCTCTATATGGAGCATTATACTGAACTTGCGGGGGTATTTTAATTGCCACCACTGTTTTTTGGGTTTTTTTTTTTTCTTTTTTTACTTATTCCTTTATTTTTTTTTTATTACCTTCCTTTTATAAAAAAAGGAATACTACAAAAAAGAGAAGGAAAAAATATTTAAAAAGAAAAGATTTTAAAACTTCTTTTTATTATGTATGCAAATTATGTATATGTAAATATTTTACATCTATTTTGCTTATATTTATTGACCCCATAGAATGGTGGGGGAGGGTAATATGAGTGCACCTATCCATTTAGATTGAAGTTCGGGTGTTGATTTGCCAATGTGGGAGAAATGATTGCAAAAGTTTTCTCCCTCCCTCTCTTATAGTCAGAAATACACAAAATGCATGCTGGGATATTTTTCTTAGCAAATAAAATGGGATGTCTTGCGTTTTGATGTGACAGTCCAGATCTGCCTTAACTACTAGACACCTATTGTATCTGCTTGTCCAAACTTGCTTGTGCATACAAACACCAACTCATAGTGTGTGAATTCTTTTGCCTTCTTACCTGTTTAATTTGTTTTAACTATATTGTTTGCTTGCTTGCTTGATTGTTGCTGTTTCATCCTTTTTGACTTTTTTTTTCTTTTCATTGCAAACTTTATTAATTCTATTTGTGTTATTTATCTTACATTTTGTTAGGTTCATTATATTTTCTTACACACAAATACCCTTGGGAAAGGTATGAATCTACTTGTTCTCCCTCCAGCTATAGGTTAATTAGTAAAACTTGTATCATTAAACCATTATTATCTCAAAAAAAAATTTTTTAATTCTTATCTAAAAATATTTTCTGGCTTTAAATAAACTTCAAAGGATTAATAAACTGTCAAAATCAATCAATCAATCAGAGCTCTGTAGCTCTTATTTGTGAAAAGATGTGCAAGGGAGATCATTTTATTTTATTACTTTTATTTCAAAGCCAACTTTCAGATAAATTGAGCTTGCAAGGAAATCCTGTTTTTTTTTGTTTTGTTTTTTTGGGTTTTTTTCCCGCATATTCTACTGGTGACTAAGACATTTAATCTTCTGTTATAATACGTTGTTTAGTTGCTTCTCATACTTTAATGGTTAGCAAAGTAGGCTAAGTTTATAGATTAACAGTTATTTATAATCAGACAATGACTGGCATATTTATTAACAATTTCTAACTGATTTTGTAAGGATTGAGATTTACAAAGTTGTATGTGTTGAAGATAAAATCTTGTTTTTTCATCAGCTAAGCTATAAAAATGACTTGTTATATTTCTATTTTCTCTTAATTTTGTTCATTGTTTTTTATTTAGGTTTTCTTACCTCTCTGGCCTTCAAGTTCACCTTACTGTTACTCGTTCAACCTATTTTGAATCTCTTAAAACACATCCCAGCATTCCTCAAGATCTCTTTCATCCACGAAAGGTTAGTTGAGTCTTTCTAAACAATGTGTCAACAAGTCTATATGATTACAAATTTTAAAACCATAATTTGGTGGAGCATGTTCAGTTTTCCTCATGGTTATTGGCAAGCTGAGTTCAAACTGAGAGTTTATTAGAAAATCATTTTACCCTATTTCCAATGTGAAAGGAATAAATACTTCTTTTCTTCTCCAGCTATGAATTAAATAACAAGGTCACAAGGAGAACTTTTGCTGATGGTTTATTGCACAAACTGCCGATCCATTGTTTGTCTCTTCTGTCTTGTTTACAGATGAGGCAACATTTGGAAGAGATGAAATAAGAAATTTACACAACCAACATTTGTGGACGAATCAGAATACCTATGGTACAATACAGGCTAGACACCATCATTAGTTTATAATTAATGTGTGAGCTGAAATTGTAGGTGACTAGTAGGTCCATATGTTCTCCCATCACATCTTACAGAAGCTGTGTACAGGATCTTTATTTCAAACACACTTCTAGACCTGTTAGAGCACGTACCCCTGCTAATACAAAAATGCATGTGGTTCATGCATGATATAGCTCCAGCACATTTTAATCATATTGTTTGCAACGCACTGGCTGATATCTACCATGAAAGATGGATAGGTAGGGGAGGACCAGTTCCATGGCCTGTATATTCCCCTGACTTGAATCCTTTGGATTTTTATCTATGAGAAAACCTGAAACAATCGGTTTATGCAGCAGACATTAATAATACAGAGATGCTTCATCAGCATGTCATGGGGTCCTGCAAAATCATTCAATTTCTTTTTCATGCATTTGACATTGTATCTCCCTTTCTTGAAATGTAGTGGCCACAATCACCAAAGGAAATACAGAATTTTGATTCATGGTCTCATTAATCAACAGACCAATTTTGATAATGTCTAGCCTAGATTAAACTCTTCCATTTCTGCTTAAAAGTTATTAGTGACTTCAAAATCAACTGAAAGGATCCCCTTTGACAGCTATCTCCTTTTGAGTCTGGTCAGCTTCCAACAACGCATGAATTATAGCTTTTTCTGCCTCCTATTTATCCTTAACTTTTGCCATTTATGTTACTTGGCACAATATGCTAAATACTGAAGATTCCACCTTTTTTATAACAATACTTTGACAATGAAACAATCTCATGTAAATGATTAAATAAATTTCAATTTTCAGAAAGGAAATGCTGGATTATTATAGAGTAAACTATCTGATTTTAAACCATTTCAAGTTAAAAATACTAATGTTATTCATAAAAAGAAACAGTATTCCATTTTTCTGAATTGTTATTGTAATTCTTTAGCGAAGAAAAAAAAAATATATGTTCAAGCAACCACCTTTACTTAGACTCCATTTTTAATTTCTCCACCCAGAATTGATTAACAATGAAACTCTGTTTTACTAGTACATTGTCTACATACTTCATTTAAATACTTTTGTACAGGATTGATTTACAAATTTCACAAGGTCACTTTTTATAAGACATTCCCATAATTAAGAAAATTGACTGAGATGGGAAGTCCTGTAATAGTAGGTAGTGCTACCTTGTCATCATAGAAATATCTAGACCTATATCAGTTGTGCCCTAACATTTGGTGAGTGAATACTAAGTTACTCATGGCAAAAGGAAAGGAATTATTGGAGTTTGAATGGAGCATAATAGTGTGCACTTTGTGGTCATCAGGACACCTGACACAGTGCATCACCTGGATTCATAACTGTTAATTGGACACTGCAGGTTTGGCAATATTTAGGCTAGTGATTTGTCTATGGCACAAACATGATGAGGCCATGGACCCCAAATATCAACAAGTCACCATGAAAGCTGGTGGTGATTCCATAATGGTGTGTTCATGTTGCCTGGGTTAGGTTCCATGGTACACCTAAATATGCCATTGGCCAGTAATTGTTATGTTGCATTGCTTCATAACCATTTTCACCCAATCATGGACTCCATGTTATTCAACCATGTGTTATTCTAGTAGGATAATGTACCATATTGTTAGGTTCAGGTTCCCTAGAATTGGTTTAAGAAACATTCTGAAGACTTCCAACAAATGAATATTTATAGGATGTGGTATAGAAGTCTATTCACATGCAAGATCTCCTGGTTATGGGCAACTCTCAAGACAGCATAGCTCAAAATCTCACCAGGGTTCTTCTGACTATTTTTTCAAATTGATGCTACATTAAGTTGCTACACTTTGCCAGGCTAGAACAGGTCCTAAACTCAGAGACACAAAAGGGCCATCACATGCTGGAGGAAAGGTGTAGCCAGCAAAAAGCAGAGGTCTGTGGACATTGGATGGATCCCCCCAACCATAGGATCTGTGGCCTCTTGTAGGGACAAATTCCTAACCAGGAGTCCTCAGACCCACAATTCTTAATTAAATCAGTTTAGTAATTTTGAGTCATAGGAATTGCAAAAGAACAAGGGGTGTGGTAGCAGACAGGCAAGATTTCACATGTTCCAGCTATTTGTATTTATTAAGTACATCTTTTTAAAAAAAAACAATATTTACACTTAATTTTTAAAAAGAATCCTCCATTCTCAAAATGCAGTATTTTTCATAACCCTACTTTGTAAATGCAAATATCCTCACTTTTCTTGAAAAATTTGGTTTCTTTGGCAATTTTCTTTTTCTTTTTTGACATTTTTTTCTATTATGCAGTTGATCATAAACATATCTTTATTAAATTTCAGTTTCAATTTTCTCTCAATTCTTTCTTAAATTTTTTTCTATTGTTTTTGTTAGTTGTCTTTTACCTCATATACCCCTCCATGCCAACTTGAAATCAAATCTGTTCTTCCTTGTGATAAAAAAAAAATCTCATTTTCTGTTGTGTATAGTGATTATCTGCCACCTCATGTACCCACTCTACTAAATATGCTATCAAATCTGTTCCTTATCTCTCTATGAAAAAATTTAATTTTCTGTTGCATATATAATTTATTGGTCACTACGGATACACCCCAACACCAATATAACCAAATTTATATCTTCACACCTTATGAAAAAGACATTTTCCCCATTTCTCATGTCTGAGTTGTATCACATCTCAATCACCCTTTGACTTCCAGCAGGTACCCTTCCTCACAAAACAAGTTATCATTTGGCATTTAACTTATCAAAGACATTTTTAAATCTTTATAAAATTTGTTACTTATTTCTGCATTCCATAATATGATATTTATTTAATATTAGTTGTCAAATTTATTTCTTTGCATAAAATTTGCAACCAACTCTTCATGTGTAAACTAATTTATTAAAAATTAATAATGTTTATGAATATATCACCATAACTTAGAAGATCAGTGCACCCTCCTCCAAATTATTGCTTTCTCAGTGCACTCAGATTATTCTATAAAATTCACAAATACTTCTACGTTAAGGCACTACAATTAATCTTTAAAAAATAACCACTTTTAAATCAACTTATTCCCAACTTTGTTTTCTTGTATAAATTTTGACTTTTGAAACCAGAGCTTCACTGATTCTGTTAAAGAAATTACTTTTGCTGTAATTGATTTCACCATGAAATGTATATTTTTTGTTTTTTTGGAGGGAGTATTATTTCACTGATCTGACTATTGAGGACAATCCAGAAATTTGCAAATGTCCATAGAATAAAAGAAAATGTCATCTCTTCTGTCTTGACATTTGAAATGCAAATCAATTTGGCACTAAAGTTTTATTGCACCAGAAAGCAAAACTAGAATTGTTTGGTTGAAATTTGAGTTCAACTTAGAGATTTTCTGTTGGAAACAGGCTTTACAAATTATTTGATTGTGTAATACTTGTTTTTTGAGTTTTTTTGTTTTTTTTGCTTTGTTTTTTTTTTTTTTTTATCTTATAGATTTCATCTGCTGTTGAGCTGCAAACAAAATCTGTTCAAGAAGACCATTCTGAAGTAGATGTGACTGGAATTGTACTAAAAATAACCAAATCAATCGGTGCTAAGTAAGTACAGCAAGATTCAGGAAACAATTTAGATTAAAGCTAGCCAGTTACTTGGTAGATTGTAGATGATACAGAAAAAAAAAACATTTGTTTGCTAGCAGGAGTCAAAAATGTTTCTTGAAATTAGTCTATTTATCATTTCCCTATTTCTTTCAGAAAATAATGACATTCTATTGGAAATTTTCTTTTTATTGCAATCGATTTCCAGTGAAACAATCCATGGAGATATTTTGTTGGCAAATTAAGAGGACAAATTTTCATGTTCAATTTTAATTAGTTTAAATATTTTTCACCAGACATTAAATAAAAGAAAGTTTATTTCAGTTTATGAACTTTCCGTAATGTTTGCATATTGAAAGGTTTAAAAAAAATTTTCCTGGGAGAAAATGATAAAACATTTGCTCTTAACTTTTTCTTAATCTATATAATTGGAGCAGAAAAGTAAGGTTTTTTTGGGGTTTTTTTATCATCTGTCTAACTTTTTATTGCATAAATTTCATAACTGTTCAATAAGCAGCATGGATTGAGAATTAATGAGCTTCTGGCAAGATTTGAACTTTTAATGTTTATATTTTCTAGTCTGCAATTCTATAACATTTCATTCATAAGTAGATGTCATTCAAATAAGCCATATTGTTATATTCTTTTCTTCTACAATCTCCATGTTTTATTCCTACCAAAGTCCTTGAAAGAGCCAATAGTCAAAGCATCAAATCACTGATCATCAGGACATGTAGCAAGAACGGAAGAGTCAAGGATTCCATGTCAAGTCTTATTCAGTGAGCTCACTTCAGGACAAAGACCACAGGGCCTCTTCAAAAATACAAGGATCAGCTCAAAGCAACACTGAAAGTCACTGGACTTGAGCCTAAATCATTTGAAACAGCAAACACAAGCTGGCAATGTTTCATCACCGTCAGAACTAAAACCTAAAAAAGCCACCAGAAGAGAAAAGGAACAAGTCAAAAAACAAGAGATAAGGGCTCGACAAAATCAAAGCCATCCTCTATCAACATTATCATGCAGTCAATGCCATAGACACTTCCATGCAAGAATGGGTCTACTTAGTCATCAATGCTATTTTCATAAAGGAAGTGATCAGAAAAGAAGAAATTAAATTCTTAGATACAAGATAAAGCCAATGACAATATCATATATGTGTCCTAGTTAGGTGTGCCATACTAGAAACAAGCTATCAATTTCAATATTTATTTTTTATGGCAACCCTGATTCTTAAGAGATGTTAGGTCATGAAAACATGTTATTATACAAGAAAAGTAAACTCATAATAAAAATTGGAAATTATCCTGGTCTTGGTGCTTGAAAATTATAATGACCCCATCCACTTTAACTCCATTATCACTCAATATAAATATTGTAGTATTAGATATAACATTTATTTCTGCCATGACAGATTTAGAATTATTTTAATTATTCATACCATTGTCCTCATCTTTGTCGCCATATTTATTACAACGTTTCAGCCGTTGTACGCTCCGGCCTTCTTCAGGTGGCTGGAACCACCTGAAGAAGGCCAGAGTGTACAACGGCCGAAACATCCGAAAATAATACCCAGAAATTCATACACAGATGTCTTCAAGGACACATGGCATAGTGGATAAAAGCATTATTTAGATCCAGTAACAGGACCCAATGAGTGTGAGTTCAATACCAGGAGATAACTGATAACTGACATCCATTAAAAACATGGAACTAGAACAGTCTACCCCAGTGGGTTCAGTTTAACATTCCAACCAGCTGAAGAAGGCTAGAGCGTACAACAGCTGAAACATTGTAATAAATATGGCGACAAAGATGGCAACAATAGTCCAAATAATGTAAATAATGTACATGATACCTCATCTCAGAAATATAGACAGATACAGATGTAGAATATTAGCCTGAGCATTGTCAAAGATATAAACTCAGAAGAAAAGTCAAAAATGAATTTTAACTTGAAGGTGTATATGGATTTCATAATCTTTAATTAAAAACTTGTTATTGCACATGAAAACATCAATATCATTAAATCGAGTTGAGAAATGTATAGGGATTCATAAAATGGAAAATCAAATACAATCAAGTCATCTTCATCGTCATGTCTTTATAAAAGGCATGAATCTGATGTTACCTTTAGACCAGTGATACATTTGAGTTGTATTTTACACAGTGAGCTACTGGACACTGTAGATAGTGAGGATGACATTAAATCGATTGGTGCTCTGTTGAAAGATAATGGTGTTTTGCTCATTGATAAGTTCTGGCCTTGAATTGCTGACCATCTGTTAATATTTTTACACAGAATGCTGCAAAGAAATTGGTTTTATTAGAATTTCTGATCTTTAATTGCAGCCAAAGAAAAATGGAACTGCTTTATGCTGTCGACATAGAAGGGAATATTTTCACATTACGCTTTTGGGGTGGCTTGCAGGTAAGAACACAAAAATAGGTCTGTCTCTTCTCCTCCTCTTCCTCTTGGTCACATGTTGCTAGCTCCTTTTGCTTGGTTGTGTAATACTGACCTTATGGTCAGTTGGCTTTCTTTTCCCTCATCGGTTCGGGTCGATGTGTCATCTCGATAGAGTGGAGTTGGGTTTCCCGAAATCTTACAATATTGGGAGTGGTGATTTGGAGATTCTGGATGGAACTGTTAAAGTGATGTCCAATCAACGCTTCAGTTATGCATGGGAGATTTCTATTCATAACCACTCAAGTGACAGTCAGCCTTCCTCAATTCTTCTGTTGCAGGTATGCACTTTAGTGATGACTATCTTACAAGCAATTCTAGGCCATACAAAGCCAACAAAATGCATGTTGCCTGCCTGGATCTGATGTCTGCTCCACACTTGTGGAAGAATGACTACCAATTGAATGCATGTTGGACATATATAGAGAAATATTTCTTGATAACAATGATTGATGACTTCCTTTATTTACACAGACAAAAGAAAATGACAATTCACAATGCACAAATTTCATTAACTCCATATTCCCATAAGCCAAAATCTGTTTTTATTTACTCATACCAAAAATCTGAAATAATGTCAGCTATAAAAAATTTTAGACAAATATCGTAGAAAGAAAAATAAATAAACCTGTCCCTAATCTTAGGCATTATGGTATTTCCATTGTATATCACTAATTCTTTTTGTAAAGATATTTTTTCTGGGTGGTCGACATAACCTTTCTTTGACCAGAATAATTTACATTGTGACCACACATTTTCTCTACCAATAAGGTATTGTAAATAACGTCTGTTTTCTAGTTTCTCAGGACACAAGCAATTCAGACAATATATTAATTATCTCTTTCTTATTGGCAGGAATTGGGTTGGGAGGGGTCTTTGTTTTGCTCAATCTTACTGAATTCCATCTATTTAAATTTGGGTTCAATTTTCCTTAGAATTGTTCTTAATTTGATTATCTTAAAACAATTTTTAACTCATTTTCTTTTTAATTTTTTTTTCTCGGCTATTTAACCTAAGATTTTCAACAATTATCATCCCATTAGTAGTTTCACGAAATCACCATCCTGTAATTTCATGCATTTAAAATTTTAAACAGGACCAGTGCTCTGTTACACTTCGCCCTTTCACACACGTGAAAATACATATGCATTTTCACTCTGCCCAATATGATAAGCTATTCTCAACTTTATTGCTGTTAAGCTGGCCAAATTCACTGTAAATGTTCATTTCATGAGTCTTAAAACAAAATAAAAATACTTTTCCATTCTTCACTATTCAGTTGTAGAACATCCCATAGGTAAACTAATGTTGTCTTTGGGTGGCTCTACCCTAATTGAGCCTGTTGGTTCCCCTCGCACACCCTAGATAATTTCATTTTCTTCACCAGTGCTGTTGCCCATATTCCATCTGATAAGCTCACTGCTTATGGCAGCATCTCACCAGTCATTGCCTCTACCTGGCAATTTCCTTTCATTTCTTCTACATCTCCCTTAAACAAACCCAATATGCATAATTTATGACTACTACTGACATAAATTGGTCTTCTGGACAGACATGCTCCTAGCACATTTGCTTCACATTCCATAGTTTCTTCAATTTTTAATAGTATGAATCTGGTTTTACTTACATTGAAATTTATGTTCTCAGCCTCTATCTTATCTCTGGCCTCTACTCCTCCCACTCATCTATCTCTGGATAGGAAACAGTGAATGTTTACTACTGTGAATACTTAAAAGGTGTTCTTGTTGTTACTAATGTTATGAATAATAATATCGTTCTCAACTGAGCTATCCTGCAAAAACAACAGGAGTGTCATCAATCCAGAGTGATTTTCACACGTGTCTCTGCATCCACCATCCATAGAATTACATAATTCCAACCTGGCTTTAAAATTACTAGAGAGACCATGTAATTAATCCCACACTGATCACATTGTGCAGTCTCCCAAAAAATCCTCCACTGTCACCACATTCACTATCACTACACAACTTCTTAAGAACTATCCATGAGGCTTCCATACCTCACCTTCTTTGTGTGACACCCACCAGTGGTCGCAGTTGCAGCCCAATATGTGTCACTCACTGGTGTGGTCGCCGCGCCAATATGTGACATGTCACAACATCAATATATGACACTGCGTCGTCGGCCCATGGTCATCTCCTAGTTGAAGCGCGAAGCTGTAAGGTTTCTTCCACCAACATTTTGGGGTTGACTCTTTGTTGCTGCCACCAGCCTGTGTCCCAGTTGATCTGGTCGTTCCAAGTTCAATACCAGCTTTGTCGTTCTCAGCTCACCTCCAACGCCTGGTCACCGAAGTAACTGCTTTCATCTTAGGTAGACAAAATCAATCAGGTGTCTGGCCGTAGTGCAAGCTGAATCCGGGGTAAAGGTGATACTGCACAAGCATAAGTAAAAAGAAAATAATAAAGCAAACTTAAGAGGTTCAATTATGTTGAGAAATATCAATTATCTTTATCTATCTGTTGAATACAGGAGTGTGTTTCTCTCCCAGCCCTTTTCTATGGATTCGTGACACTTTTTGCATTTCTTAAGCAAGTTATGGTGTCTTAAATCGTTCGTCAATAAAACTTGCTTTTGGTAAGAAGACTAAGTTGAGAGGACATGGAAATCTTTCGGTCAGCTTCTGTGAGGCAACATTCTCCAACTTCTTGAACTAACTCCAAACTCAAACTGTCTGGAACTCACTAAACTGCCTCGAGATGTTCGTTTATATGGACACCAACCAAAACCTGGTGTGGGGGCCTGACGTGGTTTGGGTTCCTTGATAATTCTCAATTCCCAACAAGAATTCTCTTTGTTCTTAGGCCAGGAAAATTAATTACTTCCCATTTCGGGGGTTTCTCCCTCGTCCGTGAGTGAAGGTCGGAGGAGAGTTATCCTCCTAGATTCTTCCTCTTTCACATTAGTATCTCATACTAATCCCCTCAGTGGGTGTTAACAACTTCTCCATCTTTCTAATACATTCACCTCCGCCTATCACCCATGCTACCACTTGCCCAATGATCTCTCGGGAGTGTCGGGGTGGCCAGGCTGGCCCTCTTAAAATTATCATCCAGAATTTTGTTTACAAAATCCTTTTTTTTCTTTTTCCTTTTCCTTCGGCCAAAACATTTACAAATCCCAGATTGCCAATTAATTCTTATCACATCTTGATTTTGGGGATACCCAAAATTCACTTAGCCCAGACCTCTACCGACTCATTAATCACTGTCGAAACCCGACTCCTGGTTTCTCCGCTAGTCAACTTTTAACTGGGTGGTTGTGTTTACCTGAGAATCAAATTCTTTATCTTTCTCATGCCTTAAAATTCTCTTATCACCAGATGCTCATTTTTGAGATGCTATGTCTGATGTCAACTGTTTGAATAAGCAATAATAATGATTCCCTTTTCGAGTTTCCTTCTCATGCCAAGATTCACGCATATAGCAAATGGCTTTCTTCGCTGGAACCAGGAATTAAAGTTAAATGATATCTCTAAAAGATAATTAATATCTATTATCCGTGGCGGACCCAAGCCAAATTTTTTTTTTTACGGCCACATGCATTGGTTGGCTTTGTTTTTCTTTCAGAATTCTGTTTCTCTTGGCGTGACATTCCTTTATTGTGACATTAATTAATTTTGACAGAATCACAATCTCGCTTTTTTTTTTTCTTACAGATTTTCTGTCTTTTGCAAAAAGTATCTTTTTTTTTGTAAATAAAATAAAATCTCCATGGCTGCTCTATCTTGCTTCAAAAACACCTCATAAAGGTGATCATCCACTTAGATTTGCCCGCCCTCTTGTATATCATGTTCTGTGCATGTGTCAGTGCTTCTGTCTTAAGTAAAAGTTAAACATTACCTTTAGAAAATCGTTAATCTGCAATTTTGGTACCTCCCAATAAACACAATAAGGTTTAAAATGAATTTTTAAAAATGAAAAATCTAAAGTTTTTACTTCAACTCCTATTTATTTCAAGCTAATAGATTTAATTTTGTATTTCTGTGAAATTCCTAAAATGCAACTACAATGTTAACAAGAGTTTCACTAAAATTTACCTGGCATTATGATCTCCATTAATCACTTTCTAGAATCTTCACAGCCCAACATTTCCTCTGAAACACATTTTTAACATTACAGTCTCAATCCCTAGTATTGTTTCTTATTACTTTTCTGCATGAACAAAACAAAAGTAATTCACTAATCACCACCTCGTCTCTATATTCTCAGATGTACTACTATTTGTTTCCATTAGCATCTTTAACTATCAATATGATCTTGGACAATTTTCTTCTCAAGTTAAACCCATATACACTGTAAATCATTTCCTTCTGTTTTTGTGCACAGATCTAGTCCTTCTGAAAAAACGCGAGGGAATTCGATTTTCAACTCCGGAATAAATATTTGTTTGCTTCATCTTATAGTTCTCTATGATGTTCACTTTGTTACAGAAAGAATTTACCAGTAATTCCCATAAATTAAACAATACGATCCAGTCTGTACCAAAGAGGTTTACTGAACCAGGGAGCACATACATTTTCGATTTGTGAATTTTTCCCATGAACAAAATGTTACATTTTAATTCACCTCTAAACTTAAGTCTTTTTCCTAACACTCCACTGGCAATTTTGTCTGTTTTAGTCAACAGTGGGTAACCAATTTTTTTCCATGTTTGCTCATTTATTACCGAGATATCACTTCCTGAATTGAGTAATAATTTTATGGTCTGCCCATTTATTTTTACATTGAGGTATTTTCTTCTTTGACCCTCCTCAATTTCGTTTTTAGACAAAACTACGTTTGACAAACCTATGTTTGAGACTTTGATTTTACATTTCTCTGTTTTGCCTGACAATGGGAACTTTTATGGCCTACACATCCACAATTAAAACATTTTTTATCCCTAAAGAAAGAATCCTTCTTTATATGCTGTCCTCCACACGAACTGCATATAATTTTTCT